TCGCTATTAAAATATTTAACTACAATAGTGCTTCCTAAGAAACCGCTATCGTTTCTATCATTGTGTATTAAGATAGCGCTTTTATAAAAAGCGCTACTAAAATATTCCACTAAATTAAATTAATTAAAATACCAAAACCTTTCCTAGCCCATATGTTTTTCTCGTTTTGGCGCAAAATCCTTTCTACCCACGCAAAAAAGCAAACACAGTCATCTTCACGTTTCTTTGTCGATTCACCGCCGTCGTCTCTCATCTTCTTCATGATTCACAGTCATCTTCTTCATAGATTCACTTCACTGGAATAAAAAGAGGAACCCTAAGACAGCTCACCACCGTCATCCTTCTCCGTCGATCTCAGCCGCCGTCATCAGCTCACCACCGTCACCCTTCTCTTCATTGATATCCGGTAATCTTTCTTTTCTCAGATTATTGCTTTGTGTTGTAAATTGTAAAATTAGGGATTTGAATTTGAAGATAATTTCCCTTTTTTAGTCCTAGTCCGTTACCCAGTTTCTTCAAACACTCACCGGCAAATTCTACTTCCAATTCGAATTCGAGTGTCAGTTCGACTCCTCTACGGATCTTTAAGCGGCCTTTGCCTCCTCCGTCTTCGGCCAAGCACATTCGAGCTCTGCTTGCTAAAAGACATGGCTCTGTGAAGCCTAACGAAGCTATGATACCGGAAGGGAGTGAGTGTGAAGTTGGGTTGGATAAGAGTTTTGGATTTTCCAAGCAGTTTGGGAGTAATTTTGAGATTGGTCAAGAAGTGGGGCGTGGACATTTTGGGTATACTTGTTATGCTAAGGGTAAAAAAGGAAGCTTTAAGGGTCTTGATGTTGCTGTTAAAGTCATTCCTAAATCTAAGGTTTATTTTCATCATTTTTGTTATTTTATTTTATTTTTATAATTAGGTTATATGTTTGTTACATGTATGATTTCTGATCTGTGCATTTTTATGAAATCTTGATGTTGAAGTACTAAAAGATGCAATTTTTAGATTTTTTGTTAATTCAATCATGTGGATTTTGGTTATTGGAAGCATGGTTTTAAACTGTGGCTGCGGCGATGAAAATACTTGAAGAAAAAAGGACGAAATTGTCTGATGAAGTTCCTAATGAAGGCAGACATGTGATTTTTGTGGTCTGATGCGGTTGCGGAGGCTACCACTTAAGAAATATTGCGGACCGCAATTTAAAACCATGATTAGAAGAAAGTAGTTTTGTAATTTTTTTGTTGGAATGACTTTGCTGTGATTAGGTTTTATGTCTCTTCAAATAGAGTTGTTGATGATTATTAGGGTAGAAATGTTTGTTTGTATTTCATGCCTTGCGTTAAATGTGGAGAATCAAGCTTTTTAGATTTTACTTGGAAAAATCATGAAACTATGCGATTGTGGTATTTTTCGATAAATTACGTGATTTCTTTTCAAGGAAGTACTTTTCATGGATTTGTTTACATTACAGTCTTATGAGAAGTTATTGTTGTGATCAATGTCATCTTTGGCTGTTAATTATTAAATCAGCTATGTGGTCTTTGTTCTTATGAATTTTGGAAATGTTTGGCAGATGACGACAGCCATTGCGATAGAGGATGTAAGAAGAGAAGTGAAGATATTGTAAGCTTTGACTGGTCATAAGAATTTGGTACAATTCTACGAAGCCTATGAAGACGATGAAAATGTTTATGTAGTTATGGAGTAAGTTCTTAATATTACCTATATATTTTTTGTCACCACTTTATTTGTTACCTTCATGAAAACAATGTTGCTGAAAGTTCGGGTGTGTTCGGGCATGTTTGGAAGCTTCGATTTGTTGCTTCAGTAAAGTCACGTTCATAGTGCATTGAAACACAAATGTCAATGTGGCACGTAACCAAACATGAACTTAGATTTAGTAATATAATCCCACATGTAACAAATGTTATTTTTTATTTAAGTTAATGACTTTCCTTATATCTAGAGTATAGTTCCAAAGAAATGTATTGTAATATTGATTGTTTGGAGATATCATATTAATTGAGCAGAAAAATGAAAGTTGTTAATCGAGTCAATAAATTCGGAACTAATCTGCTACTATATCTCATGCTATACAGATTATGCAAAGGAGGTGAATTGCTAGATAAGATTCTTTCCAGGTAATAATATTCTCCAACTTTATTTTTCCGTGCCACAAAGTTGGAACTAACTAAAAGGAGATTTTTTGGTTTTGTTATTTTACCGTTGTCGTCATTGCAAACATTCTGATCAGCTCATACTTGATTCTGATTTATAGGGGTGGAAAGTACTCAGAAGAGGTAGCTAGAGTTGTTTTGATTCAGATATTAAGTGTAGTAGCTTACTGTCATCTACAGGGCGTTGTCCACCGTGATCTCAAGCCAGAGGTAATCTATTCATAATAAGAAATTAACTTTTCATAGTAAACTTGGCAAGCTCACATTCTTTCCATTTGATTACTGTGTGTCGCTCACTCTCATCACTTGCACAAAACCACAATCTGTTATCTTTTACTGTTATTGCGCTGTTTCTTTCAAAGACCCGTGTTCCCACACGTGTCAGTGCAATGAGTTAGTTCATTAAGCTGATCAATGCTTAGCTGGAAAAAAAGATCTGATTTTTTTGTTGCTTTTGGATTTAATTAGAAATAATGACGTTATTTTCAGATATATTTTTTTACAAACCTTATAAACTTAGATGATTTGATTAAATGTTATCGAATATCGGCCATGTTGGCACCATGGATGATATCAATGGCGGATTTTGGTGTTGCCGCAATGGTAAATATAGTCGGATATTGCGGTTTTTTCCGCCATCATCCACCATGATGGCGCCACAAAGCCACATTTATAGAAAATCATGATACTAGCTCAACTCAGGTGACTCAAATTTATATGCATTTTTCTTATTTCTTAGTGACAACTGGGAAAGACTGGTCTGGTATAATAGATTTATGTAAAATTAATTTTGCTTTTGAAAATACCTTTTTTTTTAAAGGTTATTGATTAATAATGTGCCTTTTATCATATTGCCTTCCTGATTCCAGCAAGAATTTTGACACCAATACAAATATGTCATTTCCTTCTACCTCATTTTCCTAATAACACATTGCTTTTTTAGTTTTTACGACTAAATTTTAAATTCACGCTCTTGTTTCACTCTCTGTGCAGGCTCATTGGCCCTTCCCTTCTGATCATGTTATGGAGGTACATATCAATGTTTTAGTTTTTCATTACTTTCAACTTGGATACTAGCAAAAAATTGACAATATTTTTTACTTATAGCCCCTATCCTGCTAACTAACTACACTCTTAATTAAACAGAGTTTAATTATGTTTATAAAATAATGATCTGCATATAACTTTTGACTACTGCAGGGATATGCTTACATATTGACTCATCCTGGGATACCTACAATTTTCTATGACCACTTTTATGACTGGAACCACTCAGTTCATGAGCAGATTGTGAAGCTGGTACGTAACAGACTAGTATCACACTAATGCATTTTCGTTTGACAACAAGAGTCTAATACACCAACTCACATTTAACTGCAGATTGATGCTCGCAAGCGTCAAGGTATTCACAGCAGATCGCCTGTTAGGATTCTGGAAGCCAAGCACAATGTTTACGCTGCAATCATCGTCGACCTCTGCTGGTTCCTCGAAGTTAGTTTCGACTGCTTCTTACTCAATTCATTGTTTCATAAATTGCTGAGAATTTACTTGATTAATGACTTTATGGTTGCAGAGCTGCTGAGGTGGACAATAGGCTTAAAAAACCAGGATCGTTTAGGGCTCCAAGATACAATGACACACGTCTTGATGATGTATTTTCTACCAAAAAGCTGAGGTATAGACATGCTTATGGGAAGGAAATGTAAAGGTTAGTTTACATGTTCAAGCTACAACTAATATCTACTTTATTCAGTTGAAATCTTTGTTCAATTATTGATACCATGTTGATATTGTTGCTGAGAGTTGAGACTAACTAAAGTAACCTTGTTGCTGTGTTCAGGAAAATCCATCTCTGGAGCAAACTAGTAATCAAACAAATGCCTCAGTTTTTTCTAGTTCAGCAGTTAAGAGACTGAAAGGGATTTCACGGTTTGTCCTGTAGCTTGTGTGTTTGCTTGATCACGCATTTATGTCTTCCCTATGATGATTATGCTTTTGTTCTCAATTTGATTTCAGCTTTGAGAAATCTGCTTCCTCAGGAGAGGTTACAAAAGATGATGTGCCGCAGGCTGAGGAAGCCAATGGAAAGTGCAGCCAAGGGAAGTTTCTTAGTGTTGCTGCCATCACAATTGGCCTTCAACAGCTAAAGGGTTTCCTTGGCATTAAAACCAAAATGTTCACAACAAAAACCGATATCGTCTCTGTGCTGCATTCAGTGTTCTCATCAGCCAAACATGGAGTATCATCTCTTTCTCTTTATCTCTCAATATGCACAAGCAAGTTATGAAATAAATAAGAAAATGAGAAATGCATGATCTAATATTTACCATCTTGCAGTGGAACTGGCACACTATATTAATCGGAGCTAGCTTTCTGTGTTTTCTTCTTGTCGCCAAGTATATCGTATGACATTAAACTCCCTTTTTCATCTTCCTATTATATCTTAAATAGTTAGGACTGCAAAGTTTTTTCTAATATTATTTCATGTTTTGTTGATTAGGGAAAGAAGAACAATAAATTCTTCTGGGTGCCAGCAATTGCTCCATTGATATATGTCGTACTGTCCACTTTTTTCGTATTCATAACACGCGCAGATAAGCAAGGGGTAGAAATTGTAAGTATATAAGAACTTGAAGTTCCATCCTCATTCCGAATATTGCAGAATATGATTGTTTTCACATAGTTTTAATTTCCATAGAACTAAAGGGTTTGTTCATTGATATGTGAAGGTAAATAAAATAGAGAAAGGGATCAATCCTTTGTCTGTTCATGATATTTATTTTAGCGACGAATACCTTGGGTAAGGTTTTAAAATTGGTTTCACGGCAGGCATGATAACACCGACAGTAAGCAAAAATAGTACTACTAGTACTAGAAGTATCTCTCTAGATGAGTATTTCTTCTATTATTTACTCTGACATTTATAATTAAACGGTTGCGTTTTGGTTTTCAGGAAGCCATAGCTATTGGAAGAACTTTTGCATCTATGAAGGACTATCAACTCGATGGAAACAGAGAAATGGTTGCATTAGGAACAATGAACGTTGTTGGTTCGATGACTTCATGTTATGTGGCAACCGGTAAGATCATAATGAACAGATGTTAATAGTATGTTTCGACAAATATTTTAAGCAGCTGATCTATTGTTATTTTCTCAGGTTCTTTCTCTCGGTCGACGGTAAACTACATGGTTGGCTGCCAAACTGTGGTATCTAATATTGTGATGTCTGTGGTTGTTTTTCTAATGCTGCAATTCCTAACTCTGCCTTTTAAGTACACTCCAAATGTAATTCTTGCTGCCATCATCATTTTCGCTGTCATCAGCCTTGTGGACTATCAGGCAGCAATTTTGATCTGGAAGATCGATAAATTCGATTTCATTGCTTGCGTGGAGCATTCTTTGGAGTTGTTTTTGTTTCAGTTGAGATAGGACTTCTAATTGCAGTAAGTGCCAAAACCTATGCTCCAAATTTTTAGCTGACTGTTCTGATAGCGGAAATCTTTGAAAATGGAATGCTTTTGGATGTGAATAAGTTGAGTTGGTCCTAAATGCTTTTAACCATAAATATATATAGAAACCATTGGCTAGTTGAATGATTGGTGATACTGTATTCAATAAATGCAAGTTCTATTCTTTATGCAAGTTTCATTGAGTTTTTCTGGCAAAATTATTAAATTTCGTTTGTAGTGATACTGTATTCAATAAATGTTGTTCCATGTATCAATCATTCCTAAGGAAACAGAAAATGTTCCCTCAATGAGAATGTTATGACAAAAGATTCTTAAATCACTTTTAGCTTGTTTGAGATCTCAACAAATTATCATAGATATAGTTGTATCACTAATGACTTGTATTATGCATCTGTTCTTAGCTTGACTTAATGGAAATCATTTGCATCAATATTATATGTATGCATCAATACTGTGCATCAATATATTGTATCAATATTATATGTATGCATCAATATTATATATATATATATATATATATATATATATATATATATATATATATATAATGATTTGGTGTAAAAAAAAGTGTATTACAATATATAGCGGTCTGAAGAGAGCGTGCTATAATAGCGCTTTGTTAGAAAGTGCTATCAAAATTAAAGCAATTTACCGGTATTTTAATAGCGCTTTGTTTGAAAGTGTTATCGAATATGTGGATTATAATAGCACTTTCTTTGAAAGTGCTATTAAATATGTGTCTTATAATAGCGCTTTATTTGAAAGTGCTATTAAATATGTGTATTGTAATAGCGCTTTGTTTGAAAGTGCTATCAAAATTAAAGCAAAATACCGGTACTATATTAGCGCTTTGTTTGAAAGCGCTATCAAATATGTGACTTATAATAGCGGTTTTGGAAAAGCGCTATTAAATACAGGTACTATAATAGCGCTTTTGAAAAAACGCTATTAATTATCAGTACTATAATAGCGCTTTTAAAGCGCTATTAAAAATTTTGTTTTACAATAGCGGCTTGATTAATAGCGCTTTAAAGCGCTATTAAAAAGCAAAAAAGCGCTATTATAAAACTTTTTTGTAGTAGTGAAACCTGTCGCTACCCCACTCATAACAAATGAGAAACTACAAAAGAATGATGGAGCACCAGAAGTTGATGCATCCAAATATCGAAGTTTAATTGGAAGCCTCCTATATTTGACAGCTACGCGGCCAGACATAATGTATGCTACAAGTTTTCTATCAAGATTCATGCAAAGTCCAAGTCAAATACACTTTGGAGCAGGAAAAAGAATTTTGAGATATCTACAAGGAACAAAAGAGTTAGGTATATGGTACTCTACCGAAACTAACTCAGGATTACTTGGCCACACCAATAGTGATTGGGCAGGTTCGGTAGATGAGATGAAGAGCACCTCTGGCTATGCTTTCTCACTCGGATCAGGAATTTTCTCTTGGGCGTCGAAGAAGCAAGCTACGGTTGCACAATCCACAGCAGAAGCAGAGTACGTGGCTGCTGCTGAAGCAACGAGTCAGGCTATATGGCTTCGTAGGATACTTGAAGACATGGGAGAAAAACAGGATCAGCCAACTAAAATCAATTGCGACAACAAATCAGCAATTACAATGGCAAAGAATCCAGTGCATCACAGTAGAACAAAACATATAGCAATCAAGTATCACTTTATAAGAGAAGCTGAAGCAACTAAAGAGATCAAACTCGACTACTGCAGAACAGAAGATCAAATTGCAGACATATTCACGAAGGCGTTGCCGAGACCAAGATTTGAAGAGCTACGAGCTATGCTTGGAGTCAAAGAAATTTGTATCAAGGAGGAGTGTTAAATTTGCTACAAATTTCTAGAGAGTTCTTAAATATTATATGTAAGAAAATATAGAACATCCTAAAAACTATAAGGTGTATGAATATGGTAGAATAATCTAAATATATAAGTATATGGCAAAGATAGAAAAATCTAGATTTATCATGATAATAACCTATCATGAGAACTCTAGAATATTCACCACCATTGAAAGGTTGGTGACTTGAGTCTATAAATAGGCATTTGCTACATTGTAAACAATCATCCAAGAAATTAATCACAAAACCTTCTTTCTAAATTACTCTCTAAAACTATCTTCTACCAACTATCATCTAAACAATTCCAAACACATTTTCACTTCAGTAATGCTAAACAATACAACAAATATTCAGCAGCCACATTGTTTTCTCGTTGAGGTAATATAAGGTTTCAGATTCACTCTTGTATGCGATATTGCCCAAATTGTTCTTGTTGTCGTTTCCATTTACCAATATGCAAATGATTAGGTGTTTTAGCAGGGTCATTATGCTGTGAAAATTATACATAAATGACTAATGTTGTAAATACCAATTGGTGGTTGTTGTTCTTTTTATATCACGTTGCGTTTCAAATCAAATTTGATTTGCAGATTCAACACATTTCATGTTGTTACGTCGCCGACTTTCTGTTGCGATACCTTAAACGTGATTGATAACTATCCGATTAATTTTAAGTAATCGTTGATCTATTTTTTCTGCTAATCATTATTTTGTAAGTAGGGTTGCATCTCCTCTGAACACGTAGAGGGTAGTTGTACCATGATTAGATATGATATGTGTGTCGTGTAGTTTTATGAATTTTGTCAGTGCGGTTTTGGTTTATGATGTCACAAACAGAGTGTGGTGCTGCTTTTGGTTGTATTTGCTTTATACTAAATTCGACCCAAAAGTATTTCACGCTTTAGCGCTTTGTTTTTTTTCAATTCAATGGCAATGACTTCATTCTGGTGCCACTGGCAGCATGCTAGATCTCTTTATATTTACTCACGAAATTTTGTTTCATTATTGATGAGTACCATCCATTTATGTTGTTCGTCGTCGGTATCATTTGTGATGTTATTGTCCTGTTTCCTTTGGGGCTGCTTGTGCCATGTTAATTATGAAACGATCATGTTGGGTGTCACGTATGGGTGAAATAGAAGTAGCTTATAGTTGACTCTATTCACGTTCATTTTTTATGATAATGAATGTTGATTCATACATTTTACGGTTGAAGGAGTTAGGTTTGTGGTGCACCTACTGTAGCTTAGATCTATTTTAGGATTCAATTTTTTCTCTCATTATGTCTTTTTTGCTGTTATTATAATTGTTGGTTTACTTTTGGTCTGGGTCAGATTTTTTTAGGCTTATATTTGCTCAGACTTTGTTTCTACTTATTTGTGTTAAGAGAAAACAAGTAAAAACATATATAAAAGATATATTGTTTATCTAGCTTTAAATCAAATATTTAGCTTAATAATTAATTGTATAATTATATTTAAATCATTTTAACTCTTTTATTGTTTACAAGATTAATGGAGAAGTACACATATTAATTAAATAATGAAAATAGTGGGTTTTTGGAGTCTAGCACTCCTTGGACCCTTGAATGATTGCTCGAGACGCATGCTTTGAGTTGTGATCATTTCGATCTTTCATTCCTAAAATACTTAATTTAATTACAACATTTAACATAAAAATATTTTCTTAACTAAATTAAGATTATAATTCATTTTGATTAAATAACACTTTTAAACTATCTTCTTGTTTAAGCAATGAGAGTAGTGGATTTTTGGGGTCTAGCACTCCTTGGATCCTTAGGCGATCACTCTTGAGGTGTACGCCTTGGGTTGTGTTCGTCCCATCTTTCATTTCTAATGATACTTAATTCTTTTCAAACTTTTAATTCACGCAAACCCTAATTCAAGTAAAAACACTTAACCTAACATTTTCGAAAGATATTTTCTTAATTAATGGTGGAGATATCAAATTCTTGAGGTCAAGCACTTCTTGGGTTCTCGAAAAATTGCTCTTGAGGCGCACACCTTAGGTTGTCATCCTTTCGATCTTACACTTCTAAAGTTTTCAATTCATTCAAATTTTCTAATGCGTCTAATCAAAATGCATTAATCACATTCAAAAGAATATTTTCTTAATCAAATTACGAAAGAACTGAATTCTTGGAGTCTCGCACTCCTTAAATTCTTGAGCGACCGCTCTTGGGGCGCACGCCTTGGATTGTGGGTTGCTCAACCTCTTGTTCCCAAAAACTAATGCTAATTACTTGAACAAGGCGTTTACTGTCCATCAAATATAATTTTATAATTAATTGAATGAAAAAGGTGTCGTTGAGATCTAGCATTCCAATAATGCCCCGTTTAATTGGTTGCGAGGTTGGCGTCTCGTTTATCGAATAGTCGTCATTCTCCCTCAAAATACTCAACAAATCTAATCTTGTTTCCTCGCGCCCGTGCGACCAAAACCCTAAAACCTATTCAAATATATTCTCTTTTCCAAATCAAAACATCCAACACGACAAATTCTATTTTCTCACCCCAGTGCGATTGAAACTTCTCAAAACACTAATTACTCGCTCCCATGTGATCCATAACCTAAACAACTTTTCCTAAAGAACATTGTTTAGTCCCTTCTTCTGCGCATATAAACGCGTGCTTCAGCCTCCTCTAGCGAGCAGACAAGCCAACATTTAGTAGTTAGAATGCGATCTAAATACTCGTTCATTTACAAACCAACCGACCGTAGTCGCCCGAACTATAGACACTGTGATTTCTCATTTGTCAAATGAGAATACGTAGGCATAGGATTGCGAGATCCTAGTGAGCTACCTTCCCTCCATCTTCTGTTGACCCCAAACCTTTACCCGTAGTCCCACGAACTACGATGCTCTGACTTTCCTATTCCACGAGGTAGTACGTAGGCACAAGGGCCTCAATCCTTGGCGAGCACCCTATCTAAAAACCACCCCATTTTCCCCTTAGAAGCGAATGCTTAAAAGAAAATAAACAACCTAGCTAGCTTTTCTCTCGAATCGAATTAAGAGGTTCTCGTTGAGTACAACGGATGTAGATGGTGCTAATATCATCCCTTTGCATAATCGACTCCC